GGAGGGACCTAATCACTGAACCAAGCCACCCACGTCCGCTGGGGAAGACATCCGGTTCGGAGGTTATACGGTGATTTGCTAACGGAACGAATTGTGGGGTAATTAGGTTGGCATCTTTACTTTACTTTTTTGGCTTTCGGCGTTTATTGGCTGCTTTTTCCTTTTTTCGTTTGTGGCTCTTTGGGGCAATTCGCGCTATTTCTCGTACGGAGCCCATTCGTGTACTCCCCGCTTTCACGCGCTTAGAGGCTTGGCCTGTGATGGGCTGTGCAGAATGTTATCTTGGTCCAGACTCGAGTTTTCTGGTTCTTGGCTTATGGCTGGATCCATTCATTGACCATTTACCAGGTTGGATGATCTGGGTGATCATTCTCACACCGGGCGGACGTATGGGGCCAGTTATCTTTTTTCTTCTTTTCTTTCTTTTCCTTCTTACTTGCCTAAATGTGGTCTCGGTGATTATAACATTGGATACGTCACATGCGTCATATACATATGATACTATGATACTTTCTTATGACATCTGTCATTCGCGCCAATTGAGTTTCAACAAGCGTGCGCCAACTGCGATCGCCTCCTGTTCGCCCAAGCCTCTGGGACCTGCTAATCGGCTTGAAACTCGGAGGACAGTCCTCCGCTATATTCCTCAATGATTTCATTCACAGGTACACCAATGATAGCCCGTCTATCTCAAACGAGTGCCGATCCCTGAATCCTTCACGGCTGGGGTGCATGGCCACATGTGTGGAAAGATACAAGTGGTAAAGGTAATTGTGAAAGTACCGCTTTCCTAACTCATGTAAGCTCTGCTGGATCTGCTGGGGATCTCCCGCGAACCTTTCCCATTACAATATTGGGAGAGGTACGGGACCCTCTTCCCCTTTGTAACGTAAATTCTTGAAGTTACCGAAAACTCTCCCACCCTGAAACCTAACCTTACAGCGCGTGGTATTCCCCAACCGGTACCATACATCCATTGGAGCTGATTGGAGAGGCAGTGAGGCATGTTTATCGGTACTGAGATTGAGATTGAGATCTCATCTCTACGGGGAGTGTGGGAAATCTCACCGGACACGAGGCCCACCGTGTATAGAGGATCGTATGCCGTTGGACCCAGTGGAGATAGATTTCAATAGTTCGGTATTGGGGAAACAACGGGGGGATCAGTGGACCAATAAGACCTCAGAGTAGGGAGTCAGAGTACGAAGTCAGAGAACAGAGTACTTTGAGTACTCACAGTCAGTATACACTGTACCAGTATGCTAGTTAGTGCTCTCACCCATACTGAATATGCAGGGTAGACTTCAGTATATTGTCCGTTGTTCGTGTGGCCGAAACTACGTGACTGTACCGGAACCAAGGAACCTCCGAAGGTCAACCATGGCTCCACCCGCCGATTCCATTTCAATTACGCTAGCACTTCATCTAGGCCATTAAGCCATTAATTATACTCAATTCTATCTTTATTCCGTTAATCTTTTCTTTTATTCTTTAAATCTTTTAATCTTTTATTACTTAATTCTGTAATTCTTTAATTCTTTAATTCTTTAATTCTTTATTCTTTTAATTAATATTATACGGAGGTTATTTTCCACTCCGTATTTCTCCGCTCCCCCGAATTCCGCCTGCGCTGGAAGTAGACTAGTTATACAGTAGATTACCCCTGTCTAGTGAGCTAATTCTAAGATTCGTTAATAATATTCTACTCTAATATTCTAGTATTCTACTCCTATTCCATCCCGTCTAATCTTCTTTTCTTCTATGATACTGTCACCTGGGCAAATACCCTGGAACCGTGGTAGCTTAATCATCAGATCGGTGCAACCTGTGCTGACTGGGGCCCGTGCCCGTCGATCCCTGGCAATTCTCCAACTGAGGGGTCCCAACTCAAAACCTCCTCCTTCTCCATACCCTGGTCGATCTCTTAGCTTAATTCTTTTTTCCTTTTTTAAAACTCCCGGGGGAGGTCACTTCTTGTTATTCACACTCTCTCATCATGGTGAACGGCACTGCCGTGTTGGAGCCCACTTTCACCGGCTATGTCGCAACCACTCAAGATGCTCTGATCCTTTTTGAGGCGTGTTTGACCGGTGTCCTGCATCATGTCCCACGTCGCCCACACGATCGGGAACGGAGCCACCTTGTGCGCAGTGGGAGTGTCTTCATCTATGAGGAGAACGCATCTGGAATCAAACGCTGGACTGATGGCGTCACCTGGAGTCCCAGTCGCATTCTGGGTAACTTCCTCGTCTATCGGGAACTGGACAAGCCCTTCCCACCTGGGGAGAAGAAGCGCGCAATGAAGAAGGCTACTCGACGACCTATGCCCGCCCGCCCTGGGGAGCCCTATCCGCGACACGACAGCAACGGCGGTCAAGGCTATTCCCCGACTTCCTCTACCTCCGGCCAGTTCGCAGACCGTCCCCACCAGTCCGAGGTTGAACGGGCATTGGTCGGGTCACTGGTCGATTCGTACGGCTTTAAGGACTCGGGCTTGGTGAAGAAGACAATGAGCGTAACCGTCATGGGTGTGACCCACCATCTGGTCTCCTACTACAGTGTCGAGGACGTTATGCGCGGTATCCTCAACCCACCCTCGATGGTGGAATCCCTGCGATACATCCGTCCCCGCGTCGAACTCACCCAGAAACAGAGCTTCCGCGCCCCGATTGACGACTTGGAGACCGGTGCCTTGGAAAGCGCTCACGATCCCTCCCACGCGGCACTGTATGGATATCGCCCACAGATGATGGCCCCGCCCAGCTACGCCATGCCCGCTCCGTCCACAGACTTCTACATGCACGCCCAATACGCCGCGACACACCCACCACAAGCTGCTCCAGGCCCGATCCCCGGATATTCCATGGGTGGCTCCATGCCAGGGCAACCAGCACCAAACCCATACTTACCCGCTCCAGGGCCGACCGCCATGCCCAAGGTCGACGACTATCACGCCTTCCGCGCCGGGCCCTACGGCGGCAGCATGGACTCGATGAGCAGCCACAGCGCTCTCTCCTCCTCCATCCCGGGTGGCATCAATACCGCTATTCCGAGCTCGCTCAGCGACCGCAACAGATCAACCTCAGACCACAGCCCCTCCGCATACCGCAACTCTTCTATTTCCTCCCGCAGCGTCGCCACAGATGCCACCTCCCCAATGGACCCTTCAACCCCAGCAACCTTCTCCCGCGGTAGCTTCAGTCTCTCCGGTCATCTCGAAAACCCACATCCCCTCGAGCCACGCGGCGTCCCAGGCCTCGATCCTTCAGTCCCAAGACGCGACTCGAATCCCATTCATCCTTACTACGCTGCGGATCGCTCCCAGTATTATGTCAGTGCAGCCACGCCAGTCAACCACCCTCACTACGCTGCTACACAACCCCTGTCGACATGGACGACCACCGCGCCGGCCCAGCCGCAAATCTAATTTGATCTTTGATCTCTTTGCTAGTGTCTTTGGTGTTGCTCATGGCCATGGAGCCCGGGAGTCGGGGTGGTATTTGTCTTTTCGAATTACCCTTTGCTGAATTTGCGTTTCCTTCTGCTTTTCTTTTGGAGATAGACCCTTTACGCTTTTGTTCTACTCTACTCTATCCTGTTCTGATTCTGTTTTCCGCTTTTGTCCGGTTTTTCCGATGGGTTTGGGAGGAAAACGCCGTTTATGTTACTGCAGCTCCATGTACTTGAACCGCGGCTGTACTCTTGTATGTTTTGTTTTGTCTATATGGATATGGATATGGCCTTTTGCTTTTTCCCCCTTGTTGGATTCGCTAGGTTTGGGTGTGGCTCTTGTGGCTTCTGGTTTGGTCTGGATGGTCTGGTTGATCCGGTCTGGTATCTTGTCTATTGTTTTGTCTTGTCTTGTTTTGCTTGTTCTACTTTCCTTCTCCGGGTCGGCTATCTGATATTGTTATTGTTTGGGATGGTGGCGGCGTTCTTTTATTCCTTACGATGTGATGCAACAAACAACCCAACAACCAAAAAGGGTTATTCTTTCTACTTTTATTCTTTATTCCTATTTCCGATTCCTATTCCTCTATTCCTTTTTCCAAGGTTAATACCTCCTTGCTTCTATATTTTTACTCTGACTGCCACCTTTGCTGCTAAGGCTGCTCCGGCTACTATTGTATCTTTGTTGTTTGATGCCTACATCTGCGTCTGTATCCACTACGCACTTTATCTATCCTATCATACAATCACAAACGGTGTCAATGGTTCCATTCTATTATATTCTGTTCTACTCTAGGCGGTCCCTTGATTTCTGCGCCATTGTTTCAACGTTGGCTTGGCTTGACTCGTCAGCTTGCGTGGTTTAGTTTGGTTTGGTGTCCGCTGCTTCTTCTACTACCGCCTATACTAATAAGGTAACTGTCGTTGATGCAAATATTTGTGGACAAGGCTGGAAAGTTGATTCTGGACTAACTTAGTCTGCAGCCTCCTACCAACACCTTGAATACTTCTTCGATACCAGGAGGCCTAGGAAATTATCTATATCTGTAAGATAGTGGTATATATCCGATTCCTTAATCACTCAAGTATATATAATACTAAATATTAGCTAGCTATGACAGATATAATACCTTTTTTATTTTAGAGGGATAATACTTATCGCTTCCCTACACCTACTCTCAAGACCAACGCTTAGTATAAGCTTTTAGTCCCAACGACTAGTGCTAGCGTTGAACGACTATTTAATACCGCTCGAGATATCTATTATTACCATCGGGAAAGACTAAATATAATAACTATCTGGGAACTAAATAACATTTCCTTATACCTCGATGGTTAACATTAAAGAGGAATAAGTATAACAGTTCTTTATACGGGATAAGATTAAAGCGGTAAAGGAAGAGAGAGAAATCACACCTAATAGGGCTAATATTGACCTAATGTCACGGAGTCTCTAGGAAACATGCACTGATCCCTCGCAAACCCAGAGGATCGACAATGTACAGGTGTCGACACGTCAGCGTTGGTTTACCGCAACGCTATCCTTCATGTTAAATAGCCTCCTCCCGGAGAACCCAAAAGTTACTCGGTCCAAGTCGTAATGTAATCGGCCGGTGCTTGTCCATGTTCTTCCACTCGTTGCGAGAATACGGCAGGGCCTCCTTCACCGGCCGGTTTTGCAAGCCCGACAGTTGCCAGGCTGAACTATCTAGACAGGTAGATCGTCCCGAAACATCATGACCATGTTGCAGAAATCTGTGATGAAAGAAAAATCCTTTAGGGTCAACCTTGACGACGTGAGCATCGCGTAGCATATCGGCGGAGGCGACGACGGAGCCGAAGTGCCAATCGCCTTGTCCGGGCGTGGTAGCGGCCTAGAAGTAGGCGAACTACTTGTCGCCCGCCAAGATATGACCGTTGCGCTAAACTGCAACCTAATGGATTCCCTAGACATACCCAACGACGTATCCGCCGGAGGGCAAACGCTTCTGCTAGATACCACCCTCGGTGGTGAAGTCGGGGGGCCAAAGCTAGCCTCGCTAGACGACTTCGTAGAGGTAGGGGCCCGGCAATCGAACCAGGAAAGGCGGGGAGATCCACTCTCCATGGTTGTCAAACAACGGGCCGTTCCACACGCCGGACTTGGCTATCTCTGCCTCGAAATTGTTGGCATCCATGACGGGCCGGGGAGGTGCAGCATCCCACAGGGCGATCGGGTAGTGCGCAGCCAGATCAGCTTCCGCGTTAGTGTAATAGGCGATGAGGGAATCCGCTATTTTAAGGATATTGTTAGAGCTGTAGAGTCCATCGGCGTGTTCTAGCTCTAGCTTTGAAGCCGTGACTCGTTTCACACCAAACGTATAGGCGCGGGAGACGGCACCTGGGTTGAATTGAACTTTAGGCACATTGGGTCTAGGTTTCTTAGTAACCTTGGCCTTCGCCCCCTTGGAGGGGGAACCGTCGCCTTGCCCTTACCCTTTGAAGGGCTAGGGACAGCGGGTGCAATCTTTCGCTTAGGTGCTATGATTGAAAGGTTAGACAAAAGATAGGGAAGGCAGGTGGGGGAGGCAAGGCTTGTTGAAGAAAGAGGAAAGTAAGGACAAGAATGTTGGAAAAGGAAGAACTGGAGGTGGAAGAAATAGTCTTCTTAAGGTGTAGTGGGTGAAAGGAAAGTGAGAAATCCCTAGTAGCAGAGAAAGTAAAGAATTTCTGAAAAAAGTTTAGAGAGAAATGATATCGAAGTGAGGAATGATATCGAAGCGAGGAATGATATCGAAGTGAGGATTTCCTAGTGATACAGCGGGCTATGTGCCACGTATAGAGCCGTCAAGCTCTAATGTCTGGTTTCTCCAAGAACCGATCCCTGTATTCCTCCAATACCAGTTGCTTCTTCAGTCTAATCTTGCTCCTAGGAACCGGGTCCTACAGAGCCAAGTTTATGACTCTGGCCATTGGATGAATTGCCTTTGGGATTATTTTGCTCCAATTATGGACCTTGCTCTTACTCTAGTATATAAGTGCTCTTAATGACCTCGCGGGATCAAGATGCTGGTCTGTAACCATCCGTGAAGATGATATCTTTGTTTATCACAGAGCACTGCTTGATGACTTTGCTTCTGCTTATGAGCATTGTCCAGATCTATCTGCTATTTTATTTTCAAGCAAACTGGTCACATGTCAAGGCAGACGTAGTTCTTTGTGCTTCGCTGTGTCTTTCTTTTGTAGTACTTGTGGGTCTTTTCTGGAGCAAAAAGGCCCCGACATGGAGCCAGATTGTCTTTTGACTTACTCCCCAACACCCTCATCACTCCAAGTGGTGTGCGTTATCTTTTCGTACAGTGTATGGCTTGAGCTGACCAAGTTACAGTATCTACGAGTCGGCTTTCAGCAACCCGTCTTCCAACCGCACCGTGACTGTTACCCTTCCTGTATCCACTGTTCGCCATTTCTTCAACCTTGGCAACGATTGTAGTCACACTCAGCGACTCGTTCTGCTTGCCCCTCGCCCATCTTGCTAGCCTGTTCATCCTTTTTATAATCTAAGTGGGTGTGGCGTGATGGTATTGGTGGTTCGTTGGACGAACGACTGAAGGCTTCGTCGGCGTTGTCCACGGGGTCTGGACCCTCCAGGCTTACTATGTCTGGGCAATGGAATTACCCTTACTGATTATTGCCATTATGGACAAAGTTTGGAAATCATGGGCAATCGCACTGGAGGTATGCCATGCTTACTTTTGGGCAATCTTGAAAGGATGCTAACAACAGGAAAACGGTCAACTGCGCAACGTTCAAGCAAATCGCTACGTTATAGTATATTCCACCACCAAGTGGATCTGGACGGACTGGAGACGATGTCGGTTGAGACCAAATTTCCACATGATCAACCTCCAGAAATTGAAGAGCCGGAGACCAATTCTCGAAAAGAACACTTGCGAAACTGCTTTTTGATCTTTCATGGAGGACAATGGGCCCTTATTTGTTTCTTTTGTATAGATTTAGATGCAAGCATTAAAAGCATTTTCGAGAATTACTCAGATGTAGGCATGAACCGCGGTTATTGCGTGCTCCAGGAGCCTTATCTCACCCAGGAACCAAGGAAAGAGGCATGGGATCTGCATCGTCGATTCTCGCTTCCGTTATTCGCTGCAAGGTCCAGTGGGCTGTACAAGCCATTAGAGCATTAGCATGAAGGTTTGCAATGACAGAAACCACTGAAGTCTTCTTTATCTTTGAACATAAATACGCAAAGCAAAGTGTCTCCCCACCAACTGAGACTTTAGTTCCACTCTACGACTTCCCACCCGCCTATACATCATCTAGCACTAAAGAGAGAGAGTTCATAACCGATTGCCGGGAGAGGGTGCTCGATAGCTCCCTGGGAGGCTTCCAAGCAGACACAGTACAAGTAGATTTTCAATCAAACTTGATACATCGTATACATGGAGCTGGAATTATTTCTGAGGTAGGGGCTTTGTTCCTGATCTCACCAACCTTATTTCACCAGCCTTATTGCACAAGAACATCGGTTCCCCGAACTACTGTGAGGTTACACGGCAATAACCCCTTCAGCATAAGAAGCATAATCTCTCGCTATCTAGTCCGTCCCGCGATCCTACCCCGGAGGCCAGATACATTCCATTAACTTTGTTCATCTCGTACCAGAGGAGACTGACGACATGATCTAGCTTCGACGATAATCAGAATCGACTATCCTCGCGATTCGCATCGTCGAGAGCAGATTCTCAGCCGCGTTTGAATGAGCATGGATCCCACCACCATGGAACAACTTCGTAGCATCTTTACCAATATGTTCAAGCAAATACTTCTCTCCACCAGGATGATCGCCCACAAACTCTTCAACATTATGAACAACACCATCAACAACAAGCAAGCAACGACCATTCTTGACATTTTCAGTATACTCTCCAAAGCTCCAAGCCGGCAGCTGATCCACCGGAGTCCCCCAGGAAATCTCTTGACGCTGGAGTTCCAGCTGGCGTTCAATCTGCTGGAATTGACCCTTAAGAATCTCATTTTCTGGAAACCGTTTCAGGTCCCAGGCGAGGTTGACCTTCTCACAGAGCCAGATAAACCACTTCGTCGGGTCCCACTGGAACCATCTTATTCCATTGCGGTAGTCGACAGGAAACTCATGGTGGAAATTGTGATATCCCTCTCCCCAAGTGATAAGCGCAACGAACCAGCAGTTTCTCGGCGAGAGCTTACTCGCAAAAGGCTGGTCTCCAACCCAGTGAGCGAGGGAATTAACACAGAAGGTTGCCTGTTGGATTAGGAACAGTCTGATGCAGCTGGCCCATATGAATCCTCCGGCGAAGTCATCATACATGAGCCCGCAGAATACCGTCGGGAATATATATGCTGTCAGAAAGAGTAGCGTGACGTATTTTTCACGCTGCCACATGACGATCGGATCGTTTGAGAGATCTTGAATGTCCACTCGGCCTGTTTGCTCCGGTTTCCGTCTAATCACAACCCATCCATAATGGGAATAGAAAAGTCCTTTATGGGCAGAGTATGGATCTTTATCGGTATCTGTATAGCGATGGTGTGCTCGATGGTCCCTGCACCACGTCCTAATCGAGGCTTGTCCTGCACTGGCGCCTGCAATTGCTAGGAAGATTTTCAGAAACGTCCCTGCGGAATAGGCCCGGTGTGCCCACAGGCGATGATACCCTATCATGTCCGTTAAACGAAGACCCAAGATGGAAGTGAAGAGTTCAGTTTACCTGCAGTGACACTAATCCCAGAGACCGTCGCGTAAATGGAAGCAAAAATTGCCGTGCAAGACTGCAAAGGTACCCACAGACTGCCGATTATCACGGCAAGGATGGGTATTCCGCCAGTGAACCATAGGCGAATCCAGTCGATTCGATCACCCAAGGCCCTCATATCGCCCAGTACCTTACTCAAGGTGAGCATAGGGTGAGAGGCGCCCATTGCAATAAGTGAACACTGATGGGTACGGAAAAGTTTACGCAAAAGGGGAAGCTCTAAGAAATAGGGGGTGTTCATACATTTGATGTCGAGAAAAGAAGTAGGGATTTCAGAATAAATTAGCATTTAACACAAATAGATAAAATGTGAGATGTCAAACATTCACTAAGACAGCCTAGGGTCCTAGGGAAAAGGAATGTGTTCCCTAGCCGCCACGAAACAAGGTAGCTGAGTTAATGTTTGACGCAACTTCCGGTGAACTTGGTTGACTATCTCTAAGGCAATCAAGTGTTTGTTAGGTTTGATGACGCCAAATATCAGCAGTGCTTTTTCAAATTCTGTGGTCGAAACCCTTCGACTGCACCTTCAAGTCACTTGTTTTGGTTGAAACTGGATAGTCTACGGAAAACCCCTTACTTGAAAAGTGGCTTACTTCGAATCACATCGTGCCCGAGCAAGGGACTCTGCAGATCTATTTACAAAATTATGCCCCGATCTACGAAGTAAGCAGGCGCTAAATCAAAAGCTGAGAAAGTTTGCCGGAGAAGAAAGCTTAAAATCATAATATTCACAAAGGGGTTCCCCAAAGTAGTCGACGCGCCCACGATCTGATTTCCTATATCGTGAAGTCAACAAAATGGAGACGCCAAAGTCACGACACTGCTACAAGAGCGACAACGAAAATGGAATTGTCAATGAGGAAGATATAGGGAGTGAATCCAAGTTCTCGATTTCGAAACAGGATACATTGACGCTTCTGGCAATGGCCAGCCTGAGCTTGATGGCAGCGCTGGATGGGACGTCTATTTCGGTTGCTTTGCCGGTATCCCGTTCAATCCGTTTCTCACCAAGAATATTTCATCGCTGACCTGAAGTTAATTCAGATAATGTCTCACGAGCTGGGAGGAACCACGATCGAAGCCTTCTGGACAGGAACATCATTCACACTGTGCTCTGCCGGTACGTCAAGAGCCAACTGAAACGAGAACGTAAAGAACTAACACCAACGTAGTATTTCAGCCAGTATTCTCATCATTATCAGACTTGTTCGGTCGGAAAATATTCGTGCTTGTCGCGATCGCATGGTTTACAATTGGAACAATTGTGGCCGGAGCCGCCAATAACTTCACCCACATGCTCATCGGTCGGTCTCTACAGGGAATTGGAGGCGGTGGTATCATCGTCCTCACTGCTATCCTCATCGCGGACATCGTGCCTCTTAGTGAAAGAGCGAAATACTTTGGGATGCTGAGTGCGATCTGGAGTTTGGGAACAGTGGTAGGGCCTGTCATTGGAGGTTGCTTTGCAGAGAAAGTCACATGGGTATGCATGAAGTTTTCTTTCTTCCTGACGACAGTTTTGATAACAATCTACCTCTAGCGCTGGATTTTCTACATTAATTTCCCGTTTATTGGAATTGGGGCGATCTTGGTTGCTTGGTCTTCCAACCTGCGGGTGAGAAACGAGACTTTTGCTACTCAAGTGCGAAAGATTGACTTCGCTGGAATTGCCCTTTTTATCCCAAGCTCTGCTTCATTCTTGATACCGTTGACTTGGGGAGGTGTACTATACCCTTGGGACTCATGGCACACATTGGCCCCATTGATTATCGGGTCAGTCGGACTCTGCATTTTCGCGATATATGAATGGCGAGTTCCGCGATATCCAATGATCCCACCAGCAATCTTTCACAGCCGAACGGCCCTCATATCATTCGCTGGTTATGCTGTAGTCGGTCTGCTTGTCTGGTGCTGTCTATACTTCCTTCCGCTCTACTACGAAGCCGTGAAAGGATTCAAGCCTATAATGTCCGGAATCGCTCTTTTCCCCGAGACATTCACCGTCGCTCCGAGCGGAGTAATTGTTGGCCTTCTCATCAGTCGAACGGGTCAGTACTACTGGGCTGTCTGCATCGGATGGTGTCTATCCACTATTGGAACGGGCCTGCTGTGTCTATTGGAAGCTAACACCCGAACCACCACCTGGATCTTCTTAAATATGGTGCCTGGCATCGGTATCGGAATGGTGCTTCCTTCCGTCGCACTGGCAGTGCAGGCATCGGCAAATGCTGAGAACCTCGCCATTGCGGTGGCCACATCTACTTCTTTCCGAGGCTTTGGGCAGTCTATTGGTGTGGCGATTGGGGGTGTTATCTTTCAGAATCGGATGAAGAGCAATCTTTTGCACTATCCTGCCCTGCAATCGTTGGCGGATAAGTACAGCGGGGATGCGGCTAGCGCGGTGGAAACTATCAGAGGAATGCATGGTCCGGTCAAGGAGGAACTTCAGCAGGCTTACGCTGATAGTTTAAAAATAGTGTGGGCATTTTGCTGTGGCATTTCTGGATTGATGTTTATTATCAGCCTGTTCACCAAGTCTTATGATTTGAACCGAACTCTTATTACGAAGCAGCGGTCTGAAAAAGAGGAGATATATGAACGAGAGAATGAGAGTGTTGATGACTGATGATATCGAGGGTGGAGAGGGTTCGGAATCCATCTTGCAAGGAATGTGTCGAGGAGGTATATCCAAGCAACGTCATATTGCTCAATGCGTCAACCCTGAGTTGTGAGCAACGTTGTATCCAGCGACGTTGAGGCAATCACTATTTATACAATGAAGTCACAGAGATATAAAGGCCATGGCTGCCTCGCTGCGGAGCTAGCTTGCTGAATGAACCTATCTAGCCGAGCATAGCTGTTTTTGTTTACGTTAGTGATCAAGCGTTGAAAGCTGCAGTTAGACAAACGATCGCCGCAGTAGAACCGGCCCTAAAAGGCCCGACCATGTCTGATCATGCACTGCCCCGCAAACTCTAAGTTCAGTGTTATCCGTTCTAAAATTGGATTAAGCAAGGCTACTGTTTGTCTCTTTTCGGATATGGTACTAAATAGTGGTCAGACCAAGTCCAGCTAGTGGTTCATGAGGAACGGTGGTTATTAATTTTACTAAGGGGGCTGCACACTAAATGGAAGTACCTAGCGTTTATGACCGCCGATTCTCAGGGAATATAGTATTGCCAAGAAATGCATGCATTTTTACTGAATAATGCATTGGAAATACAATTACTACGCCTTACCTAGATAGGATTAGCGTACATTTGCTGGGGTCCAATTATTAAGTATGGGGTCCTTTTATTGTCTCCCTATATATATTTCTGTAGGTTCACTATGCTATAGCGATATTTGATATACTAACCTAAATAGTTATAAAAAACGGTAATTTACGTTGATTAGTTAGTAGCGTTATAACCGCTAAGACTAGGATTTTATACAATAATAGGCTTTCGTGGGGGCCTATTAGGCCCCCACCGTGGGCTGGGGGTTAGGCTTGGGCCTAAATGTTCGACCCCCAGCCCACGATGGGTTAGGCTTTGGGCCCGAGGTCCGGGCCTAACGGTGGGCTTTGCGGAAGTCTAATAAAGAGTGCTAAGCCGATAAGCCCGCGACGCCGGCCACGTCGCTCCGTTAGAATTCGAAATCTACGCTAGATGTAAGACTGAGATTCATTACTTTGGGGGGTTCAAATCCGAAGCAAGGACATCACGTAGCAAATCAAGCGACGTAAAATGTTAGGCGGTGTTAAGGAGCTATAGGATGGATTAGAAACATTTTCACTATATAAAGTACCACTATATATGTAGCTAGTTGATGAATGGCGTGTTTGTCATTTTCGAATAGCAGATATAAGGACCTTTGAAGATACGTATTCGTTACTGTAACCCACCGCTAGTTCCCAAATAACTAATCTCTCCTAACCTACCACAATCTCTAATTCATCACTCTCCCTCAATTCATCACTCTTCCTCAATTCATCCCTTCCTCATTTCTCGAAAACCTACATATAAATCCAGTGATTCTATTCGGAGTGCAATACCCAATCCTAGTAATCCTTTCTACTATGGTTCGTTTTTAAATCTTTTCCGAGGTAACAATACTTATTTGAGGTCTATGGAAAAGGACTTTCCTCTTTGGCGAGCGAGCGGCCCTGTGACCAAGATTGTGCCAAGGCTCTAGTGGATATCTCGGACATCCAGGTTCAAGCCAGGGCTCGCGGAATGATACAGCTCTAGCTCACCTCGCATTGATTTGCCATTTTCGGTAAATGCGCCGACCGAGATGGGCGGAAATCATCCGAAATGTGTCCCAAAGGCCTACCTGACTGGGCTGAGCTCTTAATGTTTCGGGATTTCGGGGTTACAGGATTACGGAATTACGGGATTACGGTATTACGGGATTACGAGGTCTAGGCTTAATCTATGGCGAAGTGGAGACAACAGTCGTACCACTAGATCACCGGCCCAACGGCGACGTAAACAGCTGGCACTGTAATTCTCCAAATCACAGACCTGGGCGTCTAGAGCTCTTCCATTTCGCGTGACTCGCAGCTTAGATTTTGGGATGTTTGCCCTTGAAAATTTCTTGATTGATATCTCTTTTTGGATTTCTTCCTCATAGCCAATGTTAGTGGAACTAAGGAGCACACGAACGGTGAAAAACTAGAAAGCACGTTGATCTGAATACATCACCAGTAAATTTGTTCCGTGGTAGCGTCAAAACAACGGCATAAATCTTGGGGCTTGAAGTTATGAAGTTTTCCCTCTCATGTGACTGATTTTCAGCCACCGACATTATAAATGACTGCATCCTCCAAGTTTGGAATGATTGGATTCCGCATCAAACTAAGACTAGAACATTCTTCACCCAATTTTTGTTACCTAATAGTCTCGATTAAACTCTCGAAAAGCAATATGGCTGCTACAGTATCCCGTTTGCTACCTGGTATAGGATTCGTCATGGTATGTGCATTGGTGATACCCTGAAATGTCTAAGACCAGCAAGATTAAACCCTTGATTCTTTTTATGGTTCTCTAGGGTTCTGCTACTGGTAAGCATATGTGTATATGCCGAGTTTGATACAAGAGAGACGTTTGCTGAATCAATCAAAGGAATTGGACGCAGTACATCGTTGGCGTTTGCTCGTGCCGGTGTCGAGGGCCTTTTCTTGGCAGACATAAATGAGGAAGCTCTGAGAAAGACGGCGGATGAAATTCGCCATGCAGTACCCAACTTGAAAGTCATAACTCAGCAAGTTGACATCGGAAATGAACAGTCCTGTGTTGATTGTGTGCGCTCTGCAGCGAAAGCTTTCGGAAGAATTGATTACGTGCTGAATAATGTTGGAATTGGCGGAGACCAAAAGCCAACAATTCAACAAGAAAGTGCTGAGCTGACCAAAGTACTTAACGTGAACTTCGTTGGTCTTTGGATTTCCCAGAGGGAGCAAGTCAAGCAGATGTTGACGCAGGAGAAACTCCAGATTCCGTAAGTTTCCTTTTACTATATATAAAGATCTGCTATCCAACACGGGCTAAATGTCACAGGAGTGGGCGCGGAAATCGTGGAGTGATCACTAACACAGCCTCGATTTTGGGTCTGGTTGGTGGTCCAGTAGGTGCTAGCCCTTATGCCGCAAGCAAGCACGCAATCCTCGGAATGACAAAAACGGTATGAAGGTTCATCTTGATGGAGGATATGCTAATAAATTCAATAATAGGAAGCTGCGGCGTATAGCAAAGAGGGAATCAGGATCAACAGCATTTATCCAGGGTGAGAAAAAATACTGGTCTCAAGGCAAAAGTTCCCAGGTCTGACTTGGCTAGTTATGTGTCGACGGCGATCCTTGGAAATAACGACCCAGAACTGCGATCCGAGATTGAATCAAAACAAACTGCTTTGATTCCCATGGGAAGGCTTGGAGACGCTGACGAGGTCTGCATTAGTTTAGAGTCTATATCGTTCTGGTCCATGCTGATATCTGGTAGATTGCTGACTGTGCCGTGTTTCTCTCGTCGCATATGGCAAGTTATGTTACTGGGAGCGCATTAGTCGTCGATGGGTATGTCTTCCTAATGATAGGTGCTAATTCCTAACTGATCCAACTCAATTCTCTCTATATGTAGGGGTTATACTTCTATTTGACGCTGCTGATTTCTTGAGTTCGAGACTGCCACTTTTCACAAGAACCATGGTCAGACGGTCCTTCTTTAATGGATTCTTATACGAGATTACCATAATGCAAATCCCAGATTTCAGGTCAGTTTCAAAGCCTGATACAGCAAACTTTGGTTTCGCACACCAGACCCTATAAAATCAAGTATCTTGCTTACGACAAGCAAATTCATGTGGTTGAAAGAAATAGATAAGGATACCAGTAGTTCCGTAGCTCGTAGTTCCTAAGTAAGTATGCAGTATTAGCCGGAGAGAGATTACACCCGTGTAGAGTTATGGAGAAGGCCATTATCAGCGTTGAATGCCTTGTTAATGATCTTGCTCGCATACAAGTCGGTCCATGAAAGGGGTATTGGGGGACAGCCCAGTGAAGGAGCTATAGGGCTGTAAGAGCATAAAAATAGTGTTCGAGATCTACGACCTATTGAACGTGCTACTGTGGTTGAAGGTCTGGTTTGAAACTAAAGATGGGCTGATTTGCGGAGCTGGATCCAAGATGTACGTCCGGCAGCCGATTTACGAGTTGTTCGTTCGGAATTACACGCAATTCGCGCAGGATAACACCGCGTGCTGCTACTGGAAATGGGTTGGTTGTAATTCGTGCCCAGAATCATCGGACCTTCCGATGTTGAGAAGGGAAGGAACTGTGCAGCGCGGTTACTATGTGTTAGGCGAAGGATCGGGCGGGGAAAGGGGGTTTCGTGGAGAATACGGCGTTTACGGGAGGCGCTGAAGGGATGGACCTAAGAGGTAACGAAATTGGAAAACGAGGGTTCAGAATTGGGACGAGGATGGCGGAGAAAAAGGGGAACGTGGGCGTAAAGATGCGCGATATCACGCGTGTGGTGGATCACGCTACTGCAGGCAAAAGAGCTGTCGCGGCAATAAAAAAAGAAAGAGTAAAAAAGTACTGTAATAGGTGGCAAAATTCACAAATCCGCCGTTACTGTTCGAATACTTTGGTGTACTGCAGAAGATTATGAAAACCATGGATTACCCATACAAGAACTTACGAGACACGAGGTGTGTTACTTATTTCGTACCACTCTGTATCTGTGGTGATGGGCTCACCGGGAGCGATTCGTTTCTACAGGATCTCAGATAGTGAGTATTACTTAGTTTTATCACTTTTTCTGAGTCTTCAGACCTGTTTGAAAGCACCGGATGCTCGATGATTAGGAAATGCATGCAACCACGGGGTTACGCGTATTGACAAGCTCGTTTAAGGAGTCACCTTGTGGATTTTAAGTCTGGAGATTCAAACAGAATGATTTGTGGCATTTTCAGTGGGATACGATGGTTTTACCCTGATAAATGCCAACAGATGCTGGATGTTCCTCAATGCGAATCAAACCTTGATGAAGTCTTCCCAGTTGTTGGTCAAGGCTTCGGCACATTTTTCTTGGTATCGCGGAAGTCCACCGACATAGAAAAGAGGCTCAACTGGCTTCCCTGGAATGTTGGACCCCATGTACCATGAGTTTGTTGTCGGTAGCAGCGTCTTGTCTGCGACTTCCAGGATCTCATCACGCCAGGCTTGCTCGGCCTGCTTTTTGACATCAATTTCTTGGATGCCCTCCCTTTCCGCATTCTTAATCATTTCGACGATCCATGAGGTTTGGATCTCGATGGTCGTGGGTCCATTGGAAAAGACGGAAGGAGAATGCGCGCTGTATGGAAGGAACATATTTGGACAACGGCTGACCATGAGGCCAAGGTATGTATAGATGCCTTCGTCCCACCTCTTGCCCAGCTCAATGCCGTCTGCATCCTTGATACCCATCTTTTTGATACCGCCTGTGACAGAATCGAAGCCTGTCGCAATAGCAATTATGTCGACCGCATGAAGCTTGCCGTCTGCGGTAACAATTCCCTCGGGGCGAAGTTCCGAGATCGGGTTGTTTTTTATGCTCACTAGGTGCACGTTGGGCTTGTTGAACTGCTCGTAATAATCTTGCTCGAGAGAAGGTCGTTTGGCACCAAATGCGTGGAGTGGCTCCAGAGGGGCAAGAAGGTCCTTGAGCTTTGGGTCATTGATTCTCGCTCGCGTTTTCTTGGCCCAGAAATCATACACTTCACGGTTTACGGTATGATTGACCATCAGGTCTTTGTAGGATCCATTCCAGAGTTTCAAGCCACCTTCCTCGTATAACCTTTCATAGGTAGCCTCCCTCTCGCCAGACGAGTCATCCGTAGAGTTCCGCGGCAGGTAATCATACGGCAGGCCACCAAATGTCGTCCGACTGTTGGCAAATGAAGCTAACCGGTTCCCCCTGTCTTGTTGCTGGACAGCATCAAGTTGCTCCTGGCGCATTGGAAGGCAAGTGTTAGGTGTTCTTTGGAAGACAAAGGTCTCTGCGGCGTCCTTCGCCCATTGCTGGCCGATTTGAATTCCAGTGGATCCGGTACCGATCACCGCGACCTTTTGGCCTTCTACATTGACCCCTTCTTCCGGCCAAGCAGAAGAGTGATAGACCTTCCCACGGAATGTTTCAAGACCGTCCCAGTCGGGAACATACTGCTTGGCAGCAAATCCGATGGCTGGAATCAACCATTTCGCGAGGATAACTCTGCCACGAGTGGCTACGGCCCACTTCCGCTCATCAGGGAGAAATTGAGCCGAAACAACTTCGTGATTGAAGTAGCAATCCTTACTTATAGAGAGCTCCTGGTCGATATGGGCAAAATATGCCTGTAGCTCTTCCCAGCTTGGATACTTCTCTTTCCAAGTCCAGTGCTTCCAGGCACCTTCCATGGACAATTCGTAACCGGGAACGGGACAGTCCACTCGAGCACCGGGATAGCGGTTCCAGTGCCACGTACCGCCCAAAGAGGAACCGGTCTCAAAAATCTTGACTTTGAGGTTCAGTTCGTCGCGTAGTTTGTGAAGAAGATAACAGCCAGAAAACCCAGCACCCACAATAAGAGCATCTAGCTCTTCTGTTGGGGCGTTTGGATACGCGAGAACGGACATGACGTTATTTGTGAGGATGAATTGAGAACGAAGAGTATGTCTTTGAGAAATAGATCAGTGGCTTGAGGCACACTCTTTAAATATTCGAAAGGCTTTCACCGTACTACTAAAGAGCCCGAAACATCATTATACAGTCGATCATAATGCATAGTTTACCCCACTCTTTTCGGTTCCCGAGTCTCGGAAATATGCGCCAGAAAGCGGAACTAGCCCGCAACGGATATACATGGCAAGGTATTGTGAAAGTCAAACCGGCTAATTCTAATTGGCATAAACTCACTGCAGAACATACGTCGGTATTTGCACCTCACTTCCAATTGTGTATTTGGATTATCACTTCTCAAATCCACTAGTTCGTGGGACAGAATTTACGCTAATTCTCTCTCCATCCCTGTTGGATAAATGGTATCTGGAATTATTCCAGCCTAATCAGACTCAATCCGTTACCTCCCCAAGATGGGGCTACTTCCAAAAACCACCATAGAGGCCCTCAAAGGCGTGGTCAATTCATCGTGCAGCGACCCCGAAAATGGACTTCCTGGTGCCGCCGTCGCGGTCGTGGGAAAGGACGGCAAGCTGATGTTTCTCCACACGGCTGGGCAGGAAGGACATGGACGCTCTGAGCCCTTGGGCCCTGACAGTGTCTTCTGGATTGCCTCATGCACCAAATTGATTACTGGAATTGCCTGCATGCAGCTCGTGGAACAGGGGCGGTTATCCTTGGATAGTGTCAACGAAATTGAGCAGATCTGCCCGGAGCTAAAAGATGTCAAAGTTCTCAAAGAAAATGGCATATTGGTGGACAAGGAACGAGGTATCACTTTGAGGATGTTGTTAAGTCATACAGGTGATTGGTTCCTCCCAATGAAATTCACTTGAGGGGCGCTTTCTGACATCTAAGACTCTACAGCTGGGTTTGGATATTCCTTTATGAATCCAAAATTGCGAGAATATTCTCGGCCAATTGGGTACAACGAGTTCTCGGGGTATTTGCGTGACTTCCAACAGCCCTTGGTGAACCAGCCCGGGGAAGCTTGGGAGTACGGGGTATGTACCCGCGATCTCTGTTGACCACATGATAGCCACTAATGAGACATGAAACTTTGGTAGATCAATATTGATTGGGTCGGCATTTTAATTGAACGGGTGACCGGAAAACCTCTGAATCAATATTTCCAGTTACATATCTTCGACCCGCTTGGCCTTGATCAGATCTCAATGATCCCAACTGAGAAGATGAAAAACAAACTGGCTTACATGCATCAGCGAGATCCAACTGGACGGATCCATTCTCGGGATCATTTGCTCCGTCTGCCTCTGATAATGGATGACGAGTCCGACATGAAATCCTTCTTTAACAGTGGCGGTGCAGGATGCTTCTCAACTCCCCAAGATTATTGCCGTATGCGTCTCTCCCTTTCTCACTTTGCTAAAGCTTTCCCTCGGTTCAGTCTCTGATGTTCACAGAAATCTTGGCCGTGCTTCTGAATGACGGGACTTCTCCAAGCACCGGGTCGCAGCTTTTGAAGAAATCTACTGTAGATGAAATGTTCCGCAACCAACTGGAGAACCTCCCACCTCTAGCTGAAAAGGTCATCCCCAACGCAAAAGCAGACCTGACCAACTCCTCAACTGGACTGCACCCAACCGTTGCCGGAGATCGCCAAGGCTGGGGACTGACCTTCATGCTCAGCGGGGGCTCTACGGGCCGCTCTATAAGAACAGCCCAATGGTCTGGCCTCCCGAATCTTTTTTGGTGGTGCGATCGTGAAAATGGTGTAGCTGGAATGATCTGTACACAAATCCTGCCATTCGGAGATGCCAAAGTGTTCCAGTTATACCAGGACGTCGAGGCCGGAGTCTACAGGGGTCTTGCGGGATCTGTGTAGGATAGTTACATGAAATGCAAAGCGCGCACTTGACCTTGAAAATAATACGAGTCTGGAATTATAATGGCCAGTGATTTGTATCAAAAGTACGGTTATTTCACCCTTTGCCCCCTATCTATCTTAGAACCAAGTATACAGAACCTTCTGGGGCGAAGAGCCACCAGCACCCGACGTGTAATGTGACTGTTACCAAACCAAAACCCAGACATTGATACTCAACTAGCAGTGCCCCTGATGAATTTGTTCCATTAGAGTTTGTTTGGGCGTACCCGTAACTCCAGCTATCCATAGGAATTAAGGAATAAGGTGAGACCAGGTACCCTACCCCTGTGACGAAAGCCATACATCCGTATAGCCGTGAGTTTGTCCGATTGAAGTTCGCTGGGGCAAACCAGTAACTCCGACCAGACCCATAGGAACTAAGGAGTAAGACGAGATCAGGTACTCCTGCGACGAAAGCATGCATGCGTAAAGCTTTAATCAGAACTGTGCTCAAGTGATCCACGTAAGTCTCTAGGATGTAGAGAAAAAAAGGACCCACATCCAACCCCTTACGGAGGTAGATCCGTAAACCCGCAGTACATGCCACGCAGTGTACATTTTGGATCGCATTAAGGCTATGGAAAACATCTAGTGAGTCACAGTGCAAGGGGGTACGACCGTAGCTCATTGAACATTCAATTTCTTGTCAATTTCGTAGCTTTTGCTACTGGCAGAATACGGTGTGTTTCAAGACCGAGACGCAAGCAAAACCACGAGCGCAAGGCCTTGTCTTTGTCGCTTCAATTCTTGTTATCTCTAATCATATTTGCTTACCAACGATTCCATGTATTATTTATGCTAACGATGATACCTGGCAGCTTTTCGTTTATAGCCCGAGCGGCTACCCGTGGAATTTAACGAGATCTTAGCATCAAGTAGACAGTATCCATTTTCAGTTATGTCGAGTTCGGCAGCTAGGGGCTGGCGAATCGCCAAAGCTTGTCAGGAGTGCCGCAAGCGAAAAATCGGGTGCAACGGCCTAAATCCGTGTGATAATTTGTCTTTTCCCTTGAACCAAATGCCCTAAGTCGGTACAGCTGCAAACAATGCCATCTTCGCAACACCGCATGCGTGTACAGGGATATCATTCGACATCGAAAAAAGAAGACCGAATATCAAGTGGCCAGAGAAGAGAATCGCAAAAATTCCGAAAGAGCATCTAGGTCAGACGGGATCAGCGCGCTGCCGAGTGTGGATGTCTATCAAGCCAGAGCAGGCCTCGTCCAGTCCTCTGGACAAAGAAACACATCGGCTGTACACATCCTTCCTCAAAGTGTTTCAGCCACGCACAATGCCTCATCCCCGTTCCAGATGCAGCTCTATTACGGACCGGCTTCCCATTTTGCTCTCACACAACACATCTACCGAGATCTCTTCTCGACTCCCAAAAACTACCCCGAAAGTTCGGGAAGACCAGAGGAAGCGGAAGCTGGTCTAGACATGTTTCAACTGAGTCGCATCTTTTTCGGGAACTTGGAGGCCGGTTCAGGAGAGAAGATCAGTCCGGGGAAAATGCCGGTGATATTTTTGCCGTTCAAAATGGCGGAGTTATTTCTATCCCAATTTCTGTCTACGCTCTATCATTTGACATCATTTTGCTCCAAGGCGCATTTCGAACAGTATCTAAAGAAGCTCTACGAACCTTGTTCTATGGCAAGGCTGGATACTCTGACTCAAGCTATGATTCTACTCGCCCTGGCAATCGGGTCACTCAGTACAGAATGTTTTTCTTGGGGCGACGTGTTGTTTGAGCAAGTCAAGACTTCAATGGCTGCATATGATGAGGTAGTGAATCTAAAATCTGTGCAGATATTGATATTAATGATAAGTCATGCTTGAGCTACCCCGTTTAGCTTCCGCGCTAACTTGGATCCTCAGCAATACGCTATCAAAGCGAACGAAGTCGGCCGAGCTCAGCATTCTTGCATCTTGGAAACGCCATTCGCAAAGCTGTTTCGGTAGGCTTTCATAAAGGTTCCCGCGATGATGATACTCAGCCTCCAGACAGAGTTGATGAGCAACGAACAACTTTTTGGTCTCTCTATATTCTTGAAAAGTGAGCTTGACAGTTCATTCTGATTTATAAAACTAGTATTAATGTCATCCCTAGTTGGACCGCCTTTCACTCCGGTCGACCAAGCTCGCTGTGCTTGAAAGATATCACGATTGAGCATGCGAAAGATCCCTTTATTCGTGAACTAGTGTCACTCTGTGCAGTCATTGCTCGATCAACAAACGAAATATATGGCCAGCAGCATGTATCACTTCTCGAAGTATGGAAAGCTGCCTGCTCAATTACCAGGATCTTCAAGGCCTTGCGGAAAATCTGCAGCAACGAGTGGGCTTTGGGGTAAATTCGCATTTTCAGCTTGGATGCATCGGCGTAAAACAAACGGTATATAACAATTGTAAGCCTTAACATGCCGTAATTGATGGGTTCACGCTAAATAACAGACAATGTACTATCACACTCTTTTGCTAATCTTCGACCTTTTCTGGATTTTCCGTGGGCATCTGCAACGTGATATGGATATGAAATCCCATCAATCTAAAGACATGCCAACAAATGATCGATCGAGAATTTCCTCGTGGCTAGATTAAGCATGCGCTCAAACGCTTATTGCTGCGCAGGAAACAATACATCACCTGTGTCAAGCATACAGGAAGAACGACTTGGCTAAGGTTCTCAACCCCTCCATCCCCATAAACTTTGGTCAAATATCTGAGATATCGTTTTAACCGGATAAAGAAACTGCGATATCATGGATATTTCTTGGGAAGTGCTACTGCTACCTTTATTTACGACTGTCTTCATGATGTAAATGCCGGGTCTCTCCACCTACCATGGATTCATGTCGCCTTAAGAACTCTTTCAATGATGCGAGCAGGGGCTGCCATCTCAAGCACCATTTCAGCTATACAGACGATGCTGCGAAGGATTGACCCATCTTATGAGAATGGTCACCATGCCTTGAGGCCGAGCTGGAAGATGTTCCCGCTCCAAAACAAGGACCCTTCCACGACCAAAAGCATCAGGCTACCCCTAGCAATAGGCCAAACTTGAAAAATCCATCAATGGAATTGCCAGGTTGGGATTCCTTCACAGGGGGCCGCTGGAAGGGTGGGCGTCAGTGCCAGGAGGGTCAGATGAGAGCTTACTTGATTGTATCCAAGCTAATGTGGCGTTGGATTTCGAGCTTTGCATGTCAGAATTTGAGACATTTATGTCTAACATAACATAAACTGTTAATTAATAACATTCAACTCTTGGTACGGTCATTTGTCTTCGACCTTCTGCAATTTATTGTGTGACTTCATAATTCGCCCGCGGGTCCACGGATCGGGGTTTTGGAATATAGATGTTCTCAAGCGTAAATTATACAGCCATTCTCGGAATCGGATTGACCAATACACACTGAATAACTCTTCCCTGGACCCACCGACAAGGCTTTAATGCAGATAAAGTATTGAGCAAGCCGCATTTGAAAAATTGATGGGCAAGGTCAAAATGGTTTCTTATAGTCCTGTGTTATGCTATGCTTAGATACATTCTACTAATTGTCCATTTATCAGTAAGCTTAACGGTCTTGGTACTATAAGGCGGCATAATATAGATGGCATAATTAATCAGTCTATCAGTCACATAAGACGGATTTACGGACTTCCACTCCCGATTGTCGGGAATCCCCCTTTTGACGGAAAACGATCAAAGTTTTGTACGGGCCGAACGGACTTTGAACGGACTTAACAAACATGTAAGATCTACGAAGTATAGACTATCGTCTGCCATATAAGTCGTCTCGACATGAAAAAAAAAAAAAATGCAATTTGCATGATGGTCGGCTTACGCCAATGTACCTTAGGGCGGGGGCGGGAAATGGGAATGCGCATTATAGTCATTCAGGCCGTAGCTACGGAGTAGAAACGTTGCATCTGCCGCTGAATAGCTCTATCTTTCATTATCTGTGAGGAGTATTGCTATCTCTCGCACTGAATTATGTCTTGTATAGGCTGCCGCCGCATCCGTGTCTGCAATGGGAATATTTGGTGGCAAAAACCTTGTAAGTACAGATGGTTTCCAGATTTTCAAACCGTGCAAACATCCCTTGAATCGTGATCTATCCGTAAATGCATTAATTATGCACGTTTGTTCAACCAAGCTTCGGGATCGACGGAATGTCTTAGCGCGGAACTTTCTCAGGGAGTCCACCCATTAGCGGGTGGGCTTATTTTGGTAGACTAGGTTATCTTAGTTCCTCATGTCCTCGACCTGGATCTAGATTTGTTGGAGCACCTCAATAGTCCTGCACCTCATACCGCTGTTTGACCGTGTCTTTGACACGGAGCGCCTCCCTTTGTGTTCAACAAGATTCCTGTTCTATTTGCACGCTAAATCTACTTAGTAAGTCTTGGTGGACCCAGTTTGGGAAATTCCGTATCACGTGATACGGAACTTAGCTTGGCAGATCTGTTTTGGGCGCATATACCACAGATCATTATAGATGTGACACTGTGGAAGCTCCGTTTGTATATCCGTTAACTCCTTACCGACATCTGCTTAGAGCCGCCCTGTAGACTCCATGCTAATACTTATATTGGCAATTATTCCTGCTCCTAAAATTAAAGAATTGTCTTCACTGTTTGGCTGAACATCTTTCGCCATGGAGCCATCCGACAAACCGGACGAAACCCCTTACGGTATCGGCTCCCAAAGCACTCTTCAGGACAGCGCCATCACCGTCTTTGACAAATCCTTCATTGAGCCTCACTTGGACGAGAAAAATGTGTCAGATTCAGACAGCGAAGTGAAGCAGCCGAAAGCCGACTGGGTGGATGCCCCCAAGGTGCAACGCTTGCGCGAGCGAGAGATCGAAGCTGGGCTGAAGAATCGTGAGTTAGGGGTGACTTGGCGGAACCTGAACGTCGAGGTTCCTGCAGCTGATTCGGCCATCAACCACAATGCCATTTCCCAATTCGACTTCATGCACCACGTTCGAGCCCTCCGCCACAAGTCCCCTCAGAAGAAGATTCTTGTCAACAGCCATGGATGCGTTAAACCTGGTGAAATGCTGTTAGTTCTGGGACGTCCTGGAGCTGGTTGCACGACTTTGTTGAAACTTCTCGCCAACCGCCGCGGCGGCTACACTGTCAATGGAGATGTGCACTTCGGGACAATGGATCACATAGAAGCCAAATTATACCGAGGCCAAATTGTGATGAATACCGAAGAGGAGATCTTCTTTCCCACCTTGACAGTCGGTGACACCATGGACTTCGCGACCAAGAACAAGGTTCTGTTCAACCGGCCTTCAGATCTACCTACCGCAACAGATTACCGAGTGGATATGAAAGAGTTTCTCCTCGAGTCTCTGGGCATCTCTCATACGGCCAACACAAAAGTCGGAAATGAGTACGTGCGGGGTATATCGGGTGGTGAAAGAAAGCGTGTTTCGATTATTGAGTGTATGGCCTCCCGCGGTTCAGTCGCCTGCTGGGACAACAGCACTCGTGGCCTGGATGCAAGCTCAGCACTCGACTGGGCAAAGTGTCTCCGTTCGTTAACTGATACCCTTGGCCTGGCAACCATCGTTACCCTCTACCAGGCGGGCAATGGTATCTATGATTTATTCGACAAGGTCTTGGTGTTGGACGAGGGCGAGCAAATGTATTATGGTCCTATGACTGAGGCCCGACCTTTTCTTGAAAGCGTTGGATTTGTGTGCCGCGAAGGTGCAAACGTGGCAGACTACCTCACTGGTGTTACGGTACCCACCGAACGTGAGATTCAACCCGGTCATGAAGACACCTTCCCTCGAACCGCCTGTGAAATTCGCAATCATTACGAAGCCTCGCCCATTTTCCAGCAAATGATCGAAGAGGAGGAAGAATATCCGGCCACAGCCGCCACCAAGGAACGCACCGAAGCTTTCCAGGAAACCGTTGCCCTTGAGAAGCACAAATCCCTCGGCAACGGTAGCGTTTTCACCGTTAGTCTATACCACCAAGTTCTGGCCTGCATTGTCCGGCAATATCAGATCATCTGGAATGACAAAGCCACCTTTGCGATCCAGCAGATATCATCGCTTATCCAAGCACTCATTGTCGGTTCGTTGTTTTATAACGCCCCACCGACCAGCCCAGGACTGTTCCTCAAGGGTGGATCTTTGTTCTTTGCTATCGTCTACAACGGAATATTGATTCCTATGTCCGAAGTCATTGATTCTTTCACAGGTCGCCCCGTCCTGATCAAGCATAAACACTTTGCATTTTTCCACCCTGCCACATTCTGCTTCGCCCAGATTGTTATCGACATCCCCATCATCCTGTTCCAGATCTCTGTCTTTTCGTTGATTCTGTACTTCATGACAGGACTTACCATGAATGCCGCCAACTTTTTCATCTACTGGATTGTTCTATTCGCCGCCACTATGTGCCTGACCCAAATGTTCCGCGGAATTGGAGCTCTATTCTCAAGTTTCGATGGCGCTTCCAAGATCTCAGGCTTCCTCGCCACTGTGCTGTGCGTTTACGCGGGTTACATGATCGAGAGACCCGTGATGCATATGTGGTTTGGTTGGATCTTCTACGTCAACCCTATGGCCTATGCGTTTGAGGCCCTCGCTGCGAATGAGTTCCATGGCAAGGTTATCGATTGCGTTAACAGCAACCTGATCCCGAATGGCACTGGGTATAATGACTCTAAGTATCAGGCATGTTCAGGTGTCCCGGGTGCCTTAACCGGTGCCACTTCTGTCACAGGCGACCAATACCTTTCTGCTCTCGCCTACTCCCACAATCACATTTGGCGCAACTTCGGTATTCTCTGGGCCTTTTGGGCGTTCAATGTCTTTATCACTGTGTGCTCTACTTTGCTATGGAGCGATAGCTCGGAATCCGGGTCCTCAATTCTTATTCCTTACGAAAAGCGACACCACCACGCTCGAGCATCAGATGAGGAGGCGCAAGCTGGCCCCCAGGGAGCCATCAAATCTGACAAAGATGAACAGTCTGGAAGTTTGCAGCGAAACTCCTCAATCTTCACCTGGAAGAACCTTACATACACGGTCAAAACACCCACGGGAGACCGAGTTCTTTTGGATGATGTTTATGGCTTTGTTCAACCTGGATCCCTGACAGCACTGATGGGATCTAGTGGAGCCGGAAAAACCACTTTGCTGGATGTTCTTGCGCAGCGCAAGACTGAAGGCACAATCAAAGGATCTATTTTGGTTGACGGTCGCCCCCTTCCTGTCTCATTCCAGCGATCTTCTGGGTACTGTGAACAGCTTGATGTCCATGAGCCGTATGCCACGGTTAGGGAAGCTCTCGAGTTTTCTGCTTTACTGAGACAGCCGAAAGAGCTCCCACAGGAAGAAAAGCTGGCGTACGTTGACACCATCATTGACCTGCTCGAGCTTCATGATATTTCGGATACCCTGATAGGTTCAGTTGGTGCGGGACTAAGCATTGAACAACGGAAGCGAGTGACCATTGGAGTCGAGCTGGTTTCGAAGCCTAAAATCCTGATTTTCCTTGACGAACCGACGTCTGGTCTAGACGGCCAATCTGCATTCAACACTGTCCGATTCTTGCGAAGGCTTGCCGATCATGGCCAAGCGGTTTTGGTCACGATTCATCAGCCCTCTGCGCAACTCTTCTCGCAATTTGACAATCTTTTGTTGCTGGCCAAGGGTGGAAAGATGGTGTATTTCGGCGAGATCGGCCAAGATGGTCGCTGCATCAAGGAATATTTCGGAAAACTCGGAGCACCATGCCCACCTGGGGTCAACCCAGCAGAATTTATGATCGACGTTGTCTCGGGCCATCTTCTCCCTGATGTCGAATGGCATCAGAAGTGGCTAGAATCACCTCAGCATGCATACATAGGTGGTCATCTAGACAACCTTATTGCCGATGCGGCTGCTAAGTCCCCTGGGTTCGACGATGATAACGCTGAGTTCGCGACTGACCTCTGGACGCAAACAAAGCTGGTCACCAAGCGGATGAGCATATCCTTGTACAGAAACACCCCCTACACGAACAACAAGTTTATTTTGCACATCATTTTGGGTCTTTTCAACGGTTTCACTTTCTGGAAGATCGGACACAGTGTCGGTGATTTACAGCTACGGCTTTTCACTATTTACAACCTTCTCTTCATTTCGCCCGGTGTCATCACTCAGCTGCAACCGCTTTTCATTGCGCGTCGCGACATTTATGATGCTCGTGAGAAAAAGAGCCGCATCTATTCGTGGAAGGCATTCGTCACTGGGCTTATCGTTTCGGAATTCCCCTACCTCTGTCTCTGCGCTGTCCTCTACTTCGCTTGTTTCTACTACACAGTTGGGTTCCCCAAGTCATCGATGCGCTCTGGGGCGATATTTTTCGTCATCTGGTTGTACGAATTCATCTACACTGGAATGGGTCAGGCAATTGCTGCTTACGCACCGAACGCGACTTTCGCTGCTTTGGCGAATCCTTTGATCCTCGGTACCATCGTTGCCTGCTGTGGCATGCTCGTTCCTTACAGTGAAATCACGGTTTTCTGGCGGTACTGGCTTTACTATCTCAATCCGTTCACCTACGTCAGTGGCTCTCTCCTTGTTTTCAGTACTTGGGGTGTGGACGTTAGATGCAAGGAGAGCGAATTCGCCATTTTCGATCCCCCAAGCGGCGAAACTTGTGAATCCTACCTCAGTTCTTACCTACATGGGGAGGGGTCTCGTGCAAACCTTGTCAATCCCACCGCTACATCGGGCTGTCGAGTCTGTGAGTACACCACTGGAAATGACTACCTTTACACCTTGAACTTGCCTCATTACTACGACGGCTGGCGCGACGCTGCAATTTGTGTGATTTTTGTCCTCAGCTCTTACGGCATGGTCTACATGATGATGAAGCTCAGGACGAAGGCCTCCAAGAAGGCTGAATAGCCGTTTCGGATCTGGATGTGGGTGTGCATCATCCATTTCCCCCATTTCCCTTTCTCCTGTTTTCCGGGTTTCCTTTTGCTCAAATTAGTTGCATGTTCCCCAAATTGTTTGCAAATTTTCTCTTTCTTTTTTTTTTTTATTACATTTTTGTCTTCCCCTTTCCTTTTTCGTCTGTCGTGTTCTCTTTTGCCCAAATAGACTGCATATGCTTTCAAATATTCTTCTGCATGCCCATCCCTCCCGTCTCTCTTTTTTCACTTCTTCCGTTCTTGAGGTTGCGTTCCTTTGATGGGAGCTGTAGCATACAAACAACACTTTGTCGGCTTGATTTAATACCTATCGATATTCCTAGCCACAATATTCGCAATAAAGCCTACATCATGTATCAAGTATGAGACTGTAAAGGCCTTGCTTTCCACTTGTTCTTACCTCCATATCATGCCTAAGAAATTGGGATTTGTAATGTCGCACTCGGCAGGCTCAAGCGGTTGCCAGAAGGTCTTGAAGATACCTGTATCTACCGTTACAAAGCACTCAGCTTCGTACGAAATGGGCATTCAATCTCGATTCGATCTGCTCAAGTATCTTATTTCCTATATTGACCATACTGTATAAGAATTAGGGGGTATAATCTTCCTCGCAGCCAGGACAAATATTGGACTTTTTGGTTTCCCAGTGCTGGTAAGAAGTCATACCAAAATATTAGTTCTGAGATCACTTGTATGCATGCAGCTATCAATTTCGTCGCCATTTTCGTTGAAATTCAACGTTTGAAGCTTTTTTATAAGAAGTCCCAGGAGAAATTGTTTCACGTGGTTGATAATGCCTGTTTTCAGCCAGATTAATTAACTATGATTTGGGTCAAATCCCGTCCCATTAGCATTGATATTTGAATTCCTGGGATGAATCGATTGATCTTGGAAAAATTCACAATGAGAACCCGTCTTGTATATCCATGTTGACATGGTTGTCGTTCTGCAATGATGGTGTAGATGGCGGTGTCTCTCTCATGCTGGATATGACACGCTCTGCTGCATGGAGCAATTCCCTTACAAATGATTCTAACTGGTCTCTATGAAGACGCTCTTCAGCCTCCATACTGTGCATCGACATATGGGACATGAGCCTTGGGACATTTTTCAAAAGCTCATAATCACGGACAACAGATGGGAGACCAGGATGGTCTATAATGTTGCACATTATAGTAACGGATGCGGCGAGGGCATAGAAGATGATCAACCTGGTAGATATCACATTCTCTGTTAATCTAAATGCGATCACTTCATGAAAAAAGACGGACTTACCAGAAACTCCCTTCATTGAGAATATGAAAAGCAGTCTGCAAATACCTCAATGTGGAACGACTAGCCTCGACCGCCAGGGCAATGCTAGTGGCGATTACAGTTTCCATGCCGTCAAAGCCCATACTAGTTTCAAGACATCGATTGCTCGCGCGATGGATGACTGCCACACAGTAAAGATAGTCGAGTCGAAGTATCAAAGTACGCAAGTCGATACTTCCCGGGTCCACTTCCATATCATGTGAAAACGAAAGACTCGGGCGGTAGTTCTCAGGAATAGCCAAACGCCATGTCTCCAAAGAATTGTCGAGGTTCCGGATATCCATGAGAAGGTCCGTATCAGGTTTCCGAAAGGCAGCTATTGAGTGGAGCGACTCATATGCTCGGGATTTGATCTGGCTTAGTTTGATATCGGTGGGGAACATGATCGAGGGATGGAATCGTTCGAATGGAAGACCAATGGCAAAATCCTTTGAGATCTCCTCCAAGTATTGTAACGAAAGAGTGAGATCGCAATGATTATCCCCGAGAGCAGGCGGTTGAAGGATCCGAAAGCAGAGATCTTTATCAATTGTATAGCAAGCCCAAAATAGGTTCCGCAGATGTGTTCTGGTACGATCTAGAACATTTTGTTGCTTCTGATTGAAAGACTGCGTAAGGCAATCGTTATGGGCTCCCAGATAGAAGACAAAATGTGCTGCCATTGAGTTGGTGACTGCAGCAGACTTCAACTTGCCAGTGAAAAACTGCGTCAACAACTAAATATTCATCATTTGTGTAAGCTTATTATCACAACGTTGGAGGGTTTAGGAATGGAAAAGAGAGAAGAAATGAGAATGGTAGGGCCATACCAGAAGTATGCAGGCTTGGAAGCCATCAATTGTCGCTGCCTCGGTGATTGTAGGTAATAGTTGGTGAAGAAGAGCAGTATAGTAATTGAACTTTGACGTGGAACACAATCGAATACCGAAGGGGACCAAATGGGCAAAAATGGCAAAGGCGATAACACATGCTTTGGCGCTCATTATGTGAGGCTTATGATCATTTGATTCATAAGCTAGCCTCACTGTTTCTTCAAATAGACAAAGATCCAAAATTGGGAACGTTGCCCGTATCATGGACTTCATGTATAAGCCCATGCATTTTTCTATCAGTGCTCGATCTGGCAAAATCTTGGGGTCGATCATGTGGGATTCGGAATAATGCCTAAAAGACGGAAAGAGGGGCAATGACGACAAGCTTCTTTGGCCAAATCGATCTCTGCACAACCTGTCCGTCGAGACGAGTTGCCCGGACTTAAAACGAGTCCATTCCTGGTGCACTTCTGAGGAATTAGGAATATGGATCAATGTGCGGAGGGGCAAGTTTGGCCGCAAGTTATAATGCGTTCCACTGTCCTTGCGCTGTCTGATGCTAGAAATGATCTCATAGTGAGTACTCAAATTGACTTCACAAAGCGGCTAGTTAGAACCAATCCACAGGCAAAGGGACAAGAAGCCTCACGTGGTTCACTGGGAAGAGTAGAAACCCATCGTGTTCGAGAATGCCGTATGCCATCCCTTTCATAGATGCATGGAATCTGGTAGTGTTCGCACCAGAAGCAACTTGGTACAGCCGCATTACATTTGATCTGAGCAAAGTCAGAGGGTTTTGAACGACTGAAAACTCCGGAACTTGGTTTCTACCTTGCGTTTCCAACAGGAGTCACAAGCCGAAATCACTTGGCCCCGTCGACCACGGCGTCCACTCATACCTTTCTTAGGTTGCTCCAATGCGACCAGAGAGTATTTCATGGATAACTATGAAAGTGTGTCTACCCTTGTGGAAGATTCTGAGAAAGGATGAGTCATCCTTGACAAGTGAATCGGTTACTTGAGATTGATGCTCCGCGGCTGAGCCAAATGATTGATTCACAGACTATCTACGGTGGGACTTATGGTTTTCCATGAAGGCCTAATATCACTAGTTCCGCGTAATAATAATTCAATCCAAAGTTGGCAATACTGTAAACCAATTTTTTCTAATGTGTTCGGTCTTTCAGTTACGTGGCATTCGATAGATTTCACTGAATTCCGGTTCCGCCCACTCGGATATATCATTACAAGGTTTCGGGCTTGGCATTTCCATAGCTGATGCCTGACCACCAAGTATGTCAATAGCGAACCAATATAACCTTCCAAGGTTTGCTGTGTGTGCCAGAGCCTTGAATTGCCACTAACAATAAGATTCAATGCGCGATATTCGAACTTCAGAAGTGGAAGTCTCCTGCAACCGCACTATACGATGAGATCGACCATCCCCGGTCAGACCCATAATAGGGATTGATTGGATGAACAGAGAACCAGCAATCGGACTTCATGCACCCGAATATTATTATATCCGTGCAAGTCCAGCCCATGGGCTAAGCAGCGGATAAGATGAAGTACCGTAACACCCTAGTCGTAGCGAACCCGGATAACGGACCCCGGTATAATGGATCCGGATATAATGGCGAACATAACGGATGTTTCAATGTTTGCCTGTCTGAATTGATTGGTAATCACCAGGGTTATGTAGGGGTGAATGGACCCCCATAAACCCCCAGCACCAAAACCAACGGAGGGCACATGAACTTGGAGATGGTTCAAACGCCCCTCATGCCCGACATAGGCTAAAAGACAGGGAAAACTAGCCAAAACGCAATAGAATACCAGTAATAATAGCAATAAATCTCTATATAACCGGTATTATAGGCGGGGACACGAAGAGCAGAATGTGCGTACAAAAGGGAAGTGGCGGAGAGATTGTCGCGTGGTCTTGGCGTATATTAAACGGAGGGTTGTGGCTTCTGGAAAACAAACTAACGACCGACTGGAGCACGACGCTAATTGAACAGGTGTGTGCGGGGATCTCTGAGTGATAAGGATCAGGCGAGATCGCAAACTGTGATCTGGAATCAGGGACCGGACCGTCCGGTAGGGAGGGGGTTGACATAGACCTGCAGAAAAGGCTACGTCGATGGAATTGAAATTCGCATCGGGTGAATTCTCTTCGTTGGGGTAAACACGTCGATTTGGTCAAGGTGTAGATCTCATAACCGCCCGCGAGCCGCCCTCCGAGGGCCGCCCACAGACCCGCCTTTTGCGGACGGATATCCGGCTTTAGTAGTGCCAACCCCGGCTACTTGGGCGTCTTGCGTGGACGGTGCGTTCGACAGCGCCGTGCGGATGTGGGTGTTCGCGGTCTTCGTTGGGAGATATCGCCCAAAGGTGTTTTGTTCGCTGCTCTCATTGTCTCTCGGGTCCACGAAGACCACTAAGTGCTAATTCGGACGCAATTCTGGGCTCAGCTCTAGTCGAGTGGGCCTTCAACTTGATTGCTAAGAATCTCGCACCCATAACTTCCGAAATGTCTCTAGAGTTTGTCTTGCCATAGATATGACTAGCTGTCTAGTTGAGATACATGTAAAGCGGAAGGAAACTCGGAGAGAGGGCAAGGGTGTCTCATGTTCGCTAAAGGATAGGTATCGGGGATTCGCCCCTATAAAGGGCTTTATCGCGTTGTAGGCATTAGTAATCACCGGTTATTGCATTGATAGCATCAATAGGAAGCTAGTCTTCTTTCTCGGTATAGACTGGTTGTCTGTTGCGTAAGCGACTGATCTTAGATAAGAACTCACTAATGACATTTCGATGGTATTGCGTCCTAATCTCGTATACTTCGGATTCACGAGCGATGCGTTTAAGTGCCAATCGTCGGTCCTAAGCACGTGTTGCTTCCGATTCATATCGATCGCTAATAAAAATAATTCATTCTCTCTAGACATTATTAAGGTCCACTCCACGTCGGAAGGAGCTCTTAAGATAGAGAATTCATCCAATCTAGTGAAATAATAAGATATTAACGGCCGATCGAGTATCAAGGCTTTATTTTTCACTTATAACACCGAGTTTTCCTCTGCTAAAAGTATTGTATGTAGACTTCCGCACGACCCAACCTAAACCGGACTAGGTTGGGTTTTAGGTCGGAGTCTTCAACCTAGTACTGGGTCTAGGGCCCTAAGTTGGGTTACAAACGTTACAAATAAGCTATGACCCGTGACTACATAAACTGTGAATTTTCGGACTGTAATATTAAGTATTCTAAGGCACGTAAAATTATCTAACGGCCGTTAGAATTTAGGCCTTTTTATAAATCCTAAGGTAGTGAATAGTAGATTTTGAATTGATTGAGTATCTAGCTATAGTACTAACTAGTGGTACATAAAGATATCATTATCTTGACCCTTACGCTTCCGTCCTAAGGCACGTACCTAGGTGTTATTCCCTAGTAGTAGTAGCTAGGATTTACTAAGAGTCTATTCTTTAATCTTAGAATGCTCATTCCAGTAACTTCTTTGGCTGCGCTGATGGCAGCACCGCCTTTTAAAATTGCGGAATCCAGGTCAAAGGGCGGCGTTAGGCTATCCCAAGTATTCACGATGGCTGCCGAAAAAGACATGGCTATGCACACAGAGAACATAAAAAATGTCACCTGCCACTTGTTCATAGCGACAAGCCAAGGATCACGACCCCCCGTCCAAGTATCTCCGAAATTGAGTGGCCGAGGGATCCACTCTGGTGAATTACGCTCGAAATCCCTTTTCGATACCAAGCAGCGTCCGGGTAATATGAGAATCAGGCTCTTTTAAAAAAGACTGAATGATGTCGCCGGTCGTGCAGAGTGGTGGTTCCTTCTTAGTGATTCGCAAGGCAAACACAAAGCAAGCTCCTTTTGCAATATTGCAAACAATGACGATGCCTAGGAACACGGGTACTATACTGCTCTTGCACTGTTCGGCTACCGGTACTTTTTTACGAATAGCATTTCTGCGTCGAGGACCAATCATCCAGACTGGGACGAGTATTGCCCATCCATGAATATAAGAATTCGGGGGAGTTATTTTCATACTCATCACGGGCACCGTTACATTCGAATCGTGCATGGTCAAGCGACAATAGTGTTTTGTCGGTCTGCGACGAATTGACAACCATGAGAAGATCCTGTCTTCCCCAGAGAATACTCGTCCAATAGGCATCGATACACGAGTCGACATCAAGCTCTCCCAGCGAACCTTGCAAGGCCTGTTTTTGAAGGGTCTCAAGCCTTGCCTGATATCTAGGAACATCATTCCCCGAGACCTCAAATGGCCAAGTCCAATTTGGCCCTCGAAGAAAGTTTGAGTACGGCTGAGCGGACGGGAAGCCCTGTTCTCCACACCTGCGGTCGTATGTACTAGAGCTAGTATGGAAGGGATATGTATCGTTTGATTAGAATAGCTAGTCTAATGGTATCGCCCGAGTGAGTATAGGGCGAGGGCCGCTTTAGCGTCGCGCAACCCAGGTAAGATTGGTGAGTGCGCAATATACAGGGTGAGGATCGGGGTGAGAACTGGGTGAGAATCCCA